TATTATCAAGACTTCTCCGTACCCGAGCACCTCATGAACTACTTATTCAAAGTTCTGCAATTGGTATCTAGGTTTATATATTTAAAAAATAAAAAAAAATAAAAAAAACACAAAACATAACTGTGCTCTAGTTACATATTCAATCATTGTGATTAATTAGGTTAAAACCAGGTGCATGTATGCCACTTTTTTTTTTTAGATTTTATTGCACTGCAGTTAAATACTATCCTTTACCTAAGAAAAACTGCATACGTACCTTGTGTTCGTCTACAAAATCCATTTTAACAGTTTTATACATACTGTATCATGGTACAATAGTAAGAAATAAAACCATTTCAGCATTCTTTAACCCGTTAACGCCGTTAGGGAGTTCTATGTCGTCCCCATTATAATAGGCCTTAAAGCAGTCACGGAGGCATATAACACCCTAATGGCTTTGAGCCCCAGTGCCCGAGGTGTACTCACCTCCGCCGCGATCCATTTCTGGGGGACTGCCTGACAACCCAGGCAGTCACTCCTTGGCAATTTAAGCCCCGGGGACCATGTGATCGCTCTAGGCATAGCTGCCTATGCAGCTGCCTGCAGGGGGACTGCCTAAACTGACAGGCAGTCCCTCTGCTGGTGAAATAAGATTTAAAAAAAAAATATTAATAAAGCAATCAGTGTAAAATAAATAAATATATACGTATATATACTCTCTATCTCAATATCAAAAACACACTTATGGAGTTACATATATAATATATACATACAGTAATTATATATTTTAATAAAATTAATATACATTAAATGAAAAAATTATATATGCGCAATTTCATTCTAAAAGTATTTTGATGTAAATATATATTTTCCTGACATATGGTGGCAGTACAATAGGGATGTACTCTTCCCTCGGGACAAGCATCTGAAATAAATAATTAACATAAAAAGTTCCTCCCCTTACCAGGTATAAGAGACCCAACCAGCCCTGGGACCTTAGTTCTCTTTCTTGTTCCATTAGGAACGGACGGCATCTGGAATGAGATGGTGAGGCACGTGGGTTGCTGCCAGGGGGATCCGGTCTAATAGCCTCTGGGGTGGAGAGCTGAATGTCCAGCAAGCATCCTGCAGGATTACGGAGCAGGTATGGTAAGCCTGCTTTATGTCGAGTGCAGTCACTGGCGAAGCAGGGAGGCGGTCTCTAGTGGCAGCAAATCACTGCCCGTTGGAGACGCATATGCACAGCGGTGGAACGCACGCCCGGGTGGTTATGCGTTCCACCGGAGTTCCGAACGGAATGGCACCAGATTTCAAACGGATCTGCCTATTTATGCTGTGCAGATCTTACTGTCAGCATGGATGCTCGCCCGTGAAGGTCTCCTGTGTCACAAGCCCCCCCCACACAGGGCAGATGTTTTAGAGGTATGATTCTTTAGGTTTCTAATCTTTAAAACTCTTTTATTGTTGCTACAAATATGGTTTATTTGCTTATGTATTGCAGATATGTCTAGTCCTGTCTCTACTGATAATATGGATAAAGACAAAGTGCCTACTCCTGCTTCTAAAAAAGCCAGTTCCAAAGCTAAACGTCTCTGTTGTAGTAAATGATCCACTCATTTACCAGATGGTTTTAAAAGGAAAGTATGTAATAAAGAAATGAAATCCTTTTTGTCTTGGTTTCAGGATAATCTGGCCCAGACTTTTGAGTCTTTTAAAGAGCCTGCTCACACTTCTCCTGTAAAAGCTACTAAACACAAGTCTAAAAGGAAGAGAACCCAGTCTAGTTCAGAACTATCCTCGGGTGAATGTTCTTTTTCTTATTCAGAATCCTCTAGCGACTCTTCTGTTACTGAGGTTGGTTTTCCCATTGATGAATTGAGAAAATTTATTAAAGAGGTTAATGTTATCCTTTCTGATGAAACTGCAGACAAATCCAAGGGTGAAGCACTTCTAGTCCAACAAAAAATGCTGGATTTGATATTCAGAGAATGGAAGAACCCTGAGAAAAGGGCTTCTATCTCCAGACATTTTAAAAGTATTGTTAAAATGGAGGAGGATAAATGAGAAGAATTGCCGGTAGTTGATGTTCAAGTGGCTCAATGGTCTAAAAAAACTACCATACCTATTGGGGAAGTTTCTTGTCTGAAAGACCCTATGGATAACAGGGCTGAAACTTCCAGCAAAAGGGCTTGTCAGGCTGCAGGTTTTCAGCATTCGCCGGGGCTTCAGTGGTGAGAGCTCAGAATCTTTGGCATAACACTTTGGAAGATGGTCTGGGTGATAACCAAGACAAAGGCCTTTCCCTTCTGTTCCAAAATTTAAGGTTGTCTAATGAGTACCTTATGGATATTATCACGGAGGTGATTAAGCTTTCGGCTCGTGTCATGGATTTGACATCTGTGGCCCGAAGGGCACTGTGGCTTAAGGCCTGGACAGCAGACACTGCATCAAAATCTGCATTATGTGAACTGCCTTTGGAGAAGAAAAAGTTGTTTGGTTCTCCTTTAGAAGAGTTAATCAGACAGACGTCAGAAACCAAGAAGGCCCTGCCTCAAGACAGAAAATATGCCTGGAAACCCAGGTATAGAAATTTCCAGTTCAAAAACCGTAGGGGCTTTCAAGAATAACCCAGGTTTCTACGTCAACAAAGGAAAAATCCAAGATTTGACAGAAAAAGACAATAAGTCTGACAGAAACAAACGTTTCTGACGCCAGAGTGGGCGGAAGGTTGCAAGGTTTAGTTCACAGATGGAGGGAGACCGCTACAAATCCATGGATTCTGAATCTGGTGCAAAAAGTATACCGAATAAAATTCTTAGATGTTCCAAGACCAAGTTTCCTTGTCTCCTCCTACCGGTCGAAGTTAAAAAAACCAAGCCCTTTTTTCTGCCACGGTCTCCCTATTAAAGGGACACTATAGTCACCTGAACAACTTTAGCTTAATGAAGCAGTTTTGGTGTATAGAACATGCCCCTGCAGCCTCACTGCTCAATCCTCTGCCATTTAGGAGCTTGCTAGACCCTGCAAGAGCCTCCTGTATGTGAGTAGAGTTCAATTTAGAGATTGAGATACAATTACTTAAGGTAAATTACATCTGTTTGAAAGTGAAGCCAATTTTTTTTCATGCAGGCTCATAGCCAGGGAAGGTGTGGCTAAGGCTGCATCAACAGAAACTAAGTGATTTAACTAGTAAATGACAGTGAATTGAGCAGTGAAATTGCCTGGGAATGATCTATACAGTAAAACTGCTTTATTTAGCTAAAGTAATTTAGGTGACTATAGTGTTCCTTTAAGAAAAGGTGTGGTAGAAAGGATTCCAACTTCCCAAGTACATCAGGGTGTATACTCCCGGTTGTTCCTAGTCCCAAAACCGGACATGTCTTTTCGTCCAATCTTGGATCTAACAAACCTGAACAAGCTCATTCCTTACCAACATTTCAGAATGGAAACTATAGCGTCTGTCACTCATATCCTTCGAAAAGGAGATTTCATGGCTTTAGATCTAAAGGATGCCTACCTGCATATTTCTATGGATGTGAAATCAAGAAAATACCTGAGGTTTGCTATAAGGAAAGGGAAAAATAGCCATCATTTCCAATTCAGAGCCCTTCCATTCAGGCTAGCTTCAGCACCCAGGATTTTTACAAAGGTCCTCACACCTGTCACAGCTTTTTTGAGGATGCAAGGAATCACAGTAGTACCTTACTTGGACGACTGGTTAATAAAGACAGATTCAAGAGGCGCTCTAGAATCAGATGTGGCATATACACTAGAAATCCTGGAAGAACATGGTTGGATTATCAACCTAGAAAAGTCAGACACTCTGTCGGTTCATCTGACAAGAGAAAAGCTAAAAAAAATATAAAGATTTTAATTTAAAAAAACCTTCTTCAGATATCAGAATGTTCGGTGAAGAAAGCCATGCAGGTTTTAGGTCATCTGACCTCGACAATCCCGGCAGTAAAATGGGCCATAGCGGAATCAAAGCCCTTACAGTGGAAAATTCTTGTCCAATGGTCAAAGAAGGAAGAAGACTTGGGTGCATTAATGAGTATATCAGATTGTACAAAAGAAAAAAAAAAAAAATCTCTTGGTGGCTAGAGGAAAAATTCATTACAAAAATCTTGGATAGTGATTTCTACAGACGCTTCAAATACAGGTTGGGAAGCTCACCTCCTCTGTATTACTTACGACAAGGTGTTTGGTCGAAAAAGGAAACAAAGGAATCCTCAAATTTCAAGGAGTTGTTAGCAGTACTCTACGCTCTTCAGCAGTTCAAGGATTTCATTGTAGGAAAAGCTGTAAAAATGCAGTCGGACAATCAGACTACAGCCTCCGACCTGAACAAACAAGGCAGTACAAGAGTAACAAAAATTGTATTTCCTTTGCTCACGGATTATGTCCTGGGCTCAAAGTCATCTAGAGGACATTTCAGCCATTCACATTCGAGGAGTAGACAACCTGGTAGCGGCCAATTTAAGCAGATCAAAATGGTCTCAGAACGAGTGGTCTCAATCCAGAAATTTTCGCTCATCAGGTGAAGAGATTCGGTCTTCCAGTCACAGACCTTATGGCAAGAAGATCAAATGCAAAAGTAAGCTCGTTTGCCGCCATCTTCAAGGTAGACAGGCCGCTGGTGGCATACCGTTTGCAATAGCAGACAACCCAAGGTATTACAAACGGGGAATGTCCAGTCTTTTTTAGTAGCCACTTAGGCACAAACACTGGCCAAAGTTAGCATTTATATTTGTGAAAAATGCAAAAAAAAAAATTAAACGCCAATTTTGGCCAGTGTTTGACTAAATGGCTACTAAAAAGGTCTGGACATACCCAATTTGCAATACCTTGGGTTGTCTACTTTTGCAAATGATATTCCATCATGGGGGCAATTTTCATTCCTGTGCTACCATACGGTCTCAAAGGCAAAGTAACCAATCTGGCAGATTTCAATGTGAAAAAAAACCAAAAGCCTTATATTTGACTAACTTTTGAAAACCTAAAATATGTACATGAGTGGTACTGTTACACTCAGGAGACTTCGCTGAATACAAATATTAGTGTTTCAAAACCGTAAAACTTATCACAAGAATTAGATAGTCAGTGTAAGTGCCATTTCTGTGTGAAAAATGCTAAAAACTTCACTTTCACCAATCTCATCGCTGAAATACATTTTACTGTTTTGAAACACTAATATTTGTGCCCAGCGAAGTCTCCCGAGTAAAACAGTACCCCCATGTACAGGTTTTATGGTGTCATGGAAAGTTACAGGGTCAACTACAGTTCTAGCAAATTAAATTCTCTGGACTTTCTGCCTGGGTTGTCAGGCAGTTCCAGCAAATTTTTATTAACAACATGACTTATGTTAAAAAAATAAAAAAAAAAAATAAAAAAAAAAATTATATATATATATATATATATATATATATATATATATATATATCTCTCTCTCCTTATAAGTGTATTTTGATATCTATATTAAATATCAAAATACAGTCAGAACGAAATTACACATTTAAATTATTCATTTTTAATGTATTTATATATTTAATTCAAATCATTCTACATGTATTTTGATATTCATATTAAAATATACTTAGACAGTGTAAGTGTATATATATTTTACACTGTTTTAAAACCATCTTTCTTTATTACAGGCAGCAGGGGGGGGGGGCTACCTGTCATTCCAGGCACTCCCCCTGTTGGCACTGCTATGGACGGCTATTCTGTCCATGTGATCTTGAGGTCCTTGCGATCACATGGCCCAGGAGGGCCAGATCAGCAGCAGTTCTGGTGACTAGCGTCCCTTTAACTATAATCCATTTTAGTACCTGAATGTGTATAGTTGCAACCCTGCAGTCATTGACAAAATTTTAGGTTCACATACTTGTTAATAAGGGACATGATACATTATGTTGTGAAAGAATTTTTATTAAACATCTTGACGGGATAACAGGTCTATGATCTGGGTCTCTCCTTCTTGCCTTTGTACAAGGCTAAAAGTGACACGTTGGCTACTTTCACAACCTTGAATCGGACACCAGGAATATCACCAACGGCATGACCAGCACGACCAAATCCAGCAACAAGAACTTCATCGTTTTCCTGGGGGAAATATAAAAATAAAAATCAAGAAATGCCAGTGGAAGAAAGCTGTATAAGGAACAAATAAACAGAACTATGGAGTGTGCAATTCTGACAAAAGGTGTTTATTCACTCTACTCCAAATACCAAGAAAACTTCTGTAATTTGAAGTAGCCATGGTGGTAGGAGTGTAGAGTTTTTGCTTGAAATATCTGCATTAGTTACAGATTGTGTGCATGGACTCAGTGTCACAAAATGGTCCAATCATCCTGGCTGATGCCACGAAGGGGCATGGAAAGCAGTGTTGGGAGCTTCGTCCATTGCTGTAATCCAGGTAAAAATAGAAGACATAATAGTGTCCAATATGGCATTTTACATAGAAAATGGTGTCCCCAAAGAAGGGTTGGAGCAAGTCCAAACGGCAAAAAATAGCCTTGCAAGTTGGATAATGTATTCAGAAAAAGCATTTGGGTTACTTTTGCCATTTGAATTTCAATAAGCTAGAATTCAGAATTTAGTGAATAAACTACTTTGGGGCAACAGAGCTGCTTTAATAGTGATTTGCGTTTTCTGCAAACATATTAAAGACTGCTAAATCATACCCATCATACTTTTATTGTACATAATTACATCACATGCCATTATGTAATAAAAATATAGGTACACATGCATTTAATAAATATACCTGCAGGATGTTCTAATACATGTGCTGGAAATCCACACTAGGATTATTTATTACGACGTCTGTCTCCAACGGAAAGATTTAACTGGGATTATCAGCAGAATTACAGTATTAGCTTTCTAGCACCAGGAAAATCACAGTTAGACAAAGAACCCACATGCCAGAACAACATTTATATATTTTGCTTAATGATAGGCAACTGAATAGATCAATTGTGATCTAAAAGTTAAAGGAACATTACAGTGCACTGAACTCTAGTGCACTCCCAGAGTAATTAAACGGTCAAAGAAAGAGGTGGAAAGTGGTTTGCTGCTTACCTCAATAAAATTCAAGCAACCGTCATTGGGTACGAAGGCGGTGATCTTCTTGCCATTTTTAATCAGCTGGACTCTGACACATTTCCTGATAGCAGAGTTAGGCTGCTTAGCCTCTACACCACTGAATAAAATACAATAAAAATTATTAAAATTCACAAAAATGCCCACTATCATGCACGATTAAAAGGACCACTATAGTGCCCTGAGGGTACCCCCACCCACCGGGCTGGATGGAGAGGAAGGGGTTAAACTTGCCTCTTTCTCCAGAGCCGGGCAGGCAGCTCTCCTCTTCTCAATGCTTTCCTATGGACGCTGGCGTCTTCTCACTGATTTTCACAGTGAGAAGCACGCAAGCGCCTCTAGCGGCTGTCAAGAGAGCCACTGGAGGCTGGATTAACCTTACATAAACATAGTTTCTTTGAAACTGCTCTGTTTATAAAACAAAACAAAACAAAAAAAAACGTTTTAACCCTAGCTGGACCTGGCACCCAGACCACTTCATTAAGCTGAAGTGGTCTGGGTGCCTATAGTGGTCCTTTAAAACAATTATCAACTTTAATATAGTGAGCTAACATTTTCCTTCTCAATGGAAGCTTGTGAGTTTAATGCCAATAGAAGTTAGTATTTAGAGCGCTTTACAATGCCATTTCATTCATCTATAAAAGTACCAACATAATGCAGCATTATCAACTCAGTGAAATTCCTAGAGTCCAGCTTGACTCGGAACATAACACAGTTCTGTCAGTTTTTCATAAAGTGTTTTTTGTTTTAAAGTCTTCTTAACAGCTTTGGAATTCCTTTGAAATTTTAACGCAATCAAAGAATACACAAAACAAAGTGGTGACTATAGCATCTTACAAAATTGTAAGAATTTGGCAGTGCAAAGAGATTCCACCCTCCATTCCAGAACAATATTGCAAAAAACTATGCCACTTTAGTAACGCAAGCACTATAATTTTAAACCAGCAGCCAACATTAAACAGCTATGGTGCAAATTGTGCTATAAACCCAAACTATTAGTTACTAAAAACAGATCTTTTATTTTACGGGTGGTATTTAAAGGGTCACCAACATGAATTATGACAGCTTTGCCTATACTTACATTGGAAATTAACATTAATTGGGACTTAGTTAATGCCAAGACAGCTGTGATATAAACGAAAAGGAGACTACCTAACTTATGAACATTGAGTGAACACATCCTTGACAAGACATATGAGATTGCATCTACCTCCATCTGATCAGCTATTGGTCAGAACACCAATAATTGGAGTTTACCAACATCGACATTAAATGGGTAATCTGTTGTAGAGGCTCTATACAGGTATAACCAGAACAAACTGAGCTACTTACACTTTTTCAAGGACAATTCCTTTGGCATGGGAAGCACCTCCAAAAGGGTTAGCCTTCAGAGCAGTTCCCAAATTTGCCTTCTTGTACTGCTTGTCATGCCACTTCTGCTCACGGCGGTGGTTGCGGAGCTTCCTAGCTGTACGAAGACCACGGCACTTGCCTATGAAAAAAAAAAAAAAATTTAAAAAAAATACATGGTAAATTATACAATGTGCACAAAATAAGATGTTAAAATCCATGTTGTAGAATAATGCATTGATCTATTTAGTATATAACTAACTCTCCCTTTCCAGTTCCTTTGGACTTACAAGGATAACAAACTAAGGATGATTTGGTGTCTATAGTATTCCTCTAAAGCGGTTTTCCAACTGAGCTCACTTTGCTGTATTAGGTAGTTTTGAGTCTAACACTACAGTAACCATCAAATTGTCATACACCAAATTTGCACAGGATTCACACTAGCCACCAGGAACTCTTGTTCTCTGCTGGCTAATTACACCCCAAAGACACAGCCAAAAAATGGAGTTACACCTCTTGCAACAGAAGAGTAAAACTGTATGTGCAGCAATTCACAGCTAAATGTTGATTTAGGCACCATGACCACTTTAAAACCATGATAAACAATAATAAAAAAAGAAAAACCCCAGCAAAGTTTGTAAACTTAGAGCTACTCCAAGCAACATACCTTTACAGTTTTAAAGTGATCATGGTGCCTGGAGTCTGTATATGCAACATTTAGCAAAATAGAACCTGTGAGGAATTCAAAACAATCTTCACGTTTTAGGCCAAAATAAATAAGTAGTATGAGCCAAAATTGTGAAACGTCCCAGAGTCAACTGTGCATAAAACCTGAAATTCAGTGTCAATTCCCACTATTTTGTCCATAGCCCTGCTAATGCATGCATCTGGGCAATCACCACCTACAATGCTACATTGTTATTTCTATAAGACAAATTAAGGCTAATCGCAATAAAATAAATATTATATATATATATATATATATATATATATATATATATATATATATATATATTTTTTTTTTTTTTTTTTTTAGATCTAGATTAGTAATTTTATACTAACCAAACTGCCCACAGTATTTGCCTGATCCTATATAATAGCCCAATACAGCAGAACAAAAAACACAAGCTTACATTTCAACACATTCCTGCACAATCAAGCCAATAAGGACAAAACCAAAAAAATATATGTATATTCTTAGTACCAGCCATCTGATCTAAAAAGGCAATAATACTCCATGTCGAAAAGGTAATAACCCCCATGGCCTGCACTATCCAGCAGGGAGGACATAGCTTGCATGCTGGCTAGATTAGTGGCAGCATTAGAAGACCTGGTTCAGATCACTCAGTGTCCTCCTATCAGTGTGGGGATTCCAGCCAGCAGGCCATGGGGGAGTGTGGGGATTCCAGCCAGCAGGCCATGGGTAATGGAGAGTGTGGGGATTCCAGCCAGCAGGCCATGGGATAACGGGGAGTGTGGGGATTCCAGCCAGCAGGCCATGGGGGAGTGTGGGGATTCCAGCCAGCAGGCCATGGGGGAGTGTGGGGATTCCAGCCAGCAGGCCATGGGATAATGGAGAGTGTGGGGATTCCAGCCAGCAGGCCATGGGATAATGGAGAGTGTGGGGATTCCAGCCAGCAGGCCATGGGATAATGGAGAGTGTGGGGATTCCAGCCAGCAGGCCTTGGGATAATGGAGAGTGTGGGGATTCCAGCCAGCAGGCCATGTGTTGGCCCCAGATCAGGAGGCAGCCTGGGCCCATCATGGCCGCTCTGTGTACCCCTGGCCGCCTCGTGGTATGACTCTCCCCCCTGCCGGTCACAGTCTGAGCTCCGGCGGCCTCGGACTGTCCTGACACTCCCTGCCGTGTCTGCCAGCACCCCTCCCCCCGAGGGTCTCCCCGCCGAGCACGGCAGGCCGATCCGCCAGCAGAGAGCGAGACACTCACCCATCCTGCCTGTCCCAGGGCTGACTGCGGAAAGAGCGATTCCCAGAAAGCACCGAGAGACAGAGCTGGCCGCAGGACCCCAGCGGGGGCTGCCCGGAGATGTGCCTGATCAGACACGGCACTGCGAGGACAGAGTTACCGCTTCATTTTACACACCGCACTCTTACATTCACAATATCCGAGCTCTGTCTGGTGTGCGCAGCGCAGAGACTCGATTTTAGTGCAGATTTCGTGGATTTAGTGTTTGGAGATTGCAGGCAAATAAGAGGACGGCTCAAACCAGGGAAAGAAAAAAACTACATTTCCCGTGATGCTGCGCGCCAGAAAGGTCCTTTACATTAACACCTCCCACCCAGGTGGCTTCTTCCTGCAGTCATAGAAGATAGCTCAGTGTGTTAGTGTTAGTACACAGACAGCATGTATAGCAATAACTGTACAGGCATACCCCACTAATGGGACCAGAGCATGTATGCAAAATGAAAATGTACTTAAAGTGAAGCAATACCCCTTTTTCACTTTCCAAATGCATATACTGCATTGTAATAGTAATTAACAGGCATAACTGATACTGTAACTGCACATTTCCAGTGATTTCATTTCCAGTGATTTATTTAATGATTTCCAGTGGGCTTTTATTCAGTTAAAACAAACAGTAAAAATAAAAATCTCATTCCAGATTGTACCATTCATCTTTAATGTCTTACCCATCTGACAAACTTAAACTGGGAGGAAAAGTAAAATAAACCTGCCCACTGGGCAATTTTCTGTCAATACAGTGCCATTTTGTGTTTGTTAGTAGCTTAGTTTAGAAACACCTCTTCATCACCTTAAAGGACCACTATAGGCACCCAGACCACCTCAGCTCAATGAAATGGTCTGGGTGACAGGTCCATCTAGGATTAACCCTGCCTGCTGTAAACCTAGCAGTTTCAGAGAAACTGCTAGGTTTACAGATGGGTTAATCCAGCCTCTAGTGGCTGTCTCATTGATTTTCACAGTGAGAAGACGCCAGCGTCCATAGGAAAGCATTGAGAATGCTTTCCTATGAGACTGGCTGAATGCGCGCGCGGCCGATGACGGGAAAGGAGGAGGAGAGTCCCCAGCGCAGAGGGAGCCCGACTCTGGAAAAAAAGGAAGGGATTAATCCCTTCCTCCCCCCAGAGCCTGGCGGGAGGGGGGCCGTGAGGGTGAGTGGGACCCTATAGAGCCAGGAAAACGAGTATGTTTTCCTGGCACTATAGTGGTCCTTTAGGCATTTATGGTTTAACTTTGAATCTTCAGAATTATGGCAAATGCAGCTAAGCTGCTAAGTCATAGTTATAGAAAATGGCAGGGTAAACCCTTTCACTGGATGGCGCCGATTGCAGAATATGGATAATGTAGGCATTATACATTTGAGATAATTAACCTGTGCCATGTCAGAAGGTATGAAAAGTTCTTGCCCCAATGACACTGAACTGAGCTGCTCCAGGCGAGAATAGAACCTTCCATTTACTGTTCACTAGCGGACAGAAGAGGCGCGGGAATGTCTGTACTCGCAAGGCACCTTTAAGTACACTCGTGGGTGGGTCTGTACTCGCGAGTGTATGTAAAGTATGTGTATGTGAAGCGGGGTATGCCTATATAGTAATAACTGGATATAGAACACTGTATAGTAATAACTAGATACTAATTACTAGATATAGAACGCTGTATGATGGACTGGATAATAATAACTAGATACAGAGCACTGTATAGTAATAACTGTATATTAATAAATAGATACATAGCACTGTATGATAGACTAGATACTAATTACTTGATATATAGCACTGTATGATGGACTATATAGTAATAACTAGATATATAGCACTGTATGATGGACTGTATAGTAATAACTGTATACTAATTATAAGCTGGATTGGATACTAATACCTAATCATTGATTATGGGGATGTAGTATATGCACCTGCACCGCAAATCCACCTTAATAAACTCAATACATTGTATAACTCGTTCTGCCGATTTGTGCTACAGTGTAATTACAGGACTCACCATTGTGACATGCTAAAAGAACTAAACTGGCTCTCGCTGGAATCCAGACGCACCCTTCATCTTTCCAGCCTTGTGTTTAAGAGCATTTCTGGGAAGCTCCCACCCTAGCTGAGCAGAATGCTCTCCTCGGCCGTTCCCACCTCCTATAATCTCCGATCCAGTACCAGCACTTTATTTAGTCTACCTCAATACAAAAAGAAAGCGGCCCGATCCTCCTTTTTCTACAGAGCACAGCAGTTATGGAACGACCTCCCACACACTAAAATTAAAATCTTCCCCGAGCCTAAAGTCCTTTAAAAGATCCCTCTCTACATACCTCAAAACAGAATGCACCTGTCATGGTTCATTATATATTTCCTACCTGTTCTATGTTAAATTTTGTATATAGTGTGTATTAATATTGTTTTTGTATTTTATTGTACCCTAATGTATCAATGCAATGTTTTGTGGACCCAGGACATACTTGAAATCGAGAGAAATCTCAATGTATACTTCCAGGTAAAATAGTTTATAAATAAATAATTTATTGCACTACAGGGAGTGCAGAATTATTAGGCAAATGAGTATTTTGACCACATCATCCTCTTTATGCATGTTGTCTTACTCCAAGCTGTATAGGCTCGAAAGCCTACTACCAATTAAGCATATTAGGTGATGTGCATCTCTGTAATGAGAAGGGGTGTGGTCTAATGACATCAACACCCTATATCAGGTGTGCATAATTATTAGGCAACTTCCTTTCCTTTGGCAAAATGGGTCAAAAGAAGGACTTGACAGGCTCAGAAAAGTCAAAAATAGTGAGATATCTTGCAGAGGGATGCAGCACTCTTAAAATTGCAAAGCTTCTGAAGCGTGATCATCGAACAATCAAGCGTTTCATTCAAAATAGTCAACAGGGTCGCAAGAAGCGTGTGGAAAAACCAAGGCGCAAAATAACTGCCCATAAACTGAGAAAAGTCAAGCGTGCAGCTGCCACGATGCCACTTGCCACCAGTTTGGCCATATTTCAGAGCTGCAACATCACTGGAGTGCCCAAAAGCACAAGGTGTGCAATACTCAGAGACATGGCCAAGGTAAGAAAGGCTGAAAGACGACCACCACTGAACAAGACACACAAGCTGAAACTTCAAGACTGGGCCAAGAAATATCTCAAGACTGATTTTTCTAAGGTTTTATGGACTGATGAAATGAGAGTGAGTCTTGATGGGCCAGATGGATGGGCCCGTGGCTGGATTGGTAAAGGGCAGAGAGCTCCAGTCCGACTCAGACGCCAGCAAGGTGGAGGTGGAGTACTGGTTTGGGCTGGTATCATCAAAGATGAGCTTGTGGGGCCTTTTCGGGTTGAGGATGGAGTCAAGCTCAACTCCCAGTCCTACTGCCAGTTCCTGGAAGACACCTTCTTCAAGCAGTGGTACAGGAAGAAGTCTGCATCCTTCAAGAAAAACATGATTTTCATGCAGGACAATGCTCCATCACACGCGTCCAAGTACTCCACAGCGTGGCTGGCAAGAAAGGGTATAAAAGAAGAAAATCTAATGACATGGCCTCCTTGTTCACCTGATCTGAACCCCATTGAGAACCTGTGGTCCATCATCAAATGTGAGATTTACAAGGAGGGAAAACAGTACACCTCTCTGAACAGTGTCTGGGAGGCTGTGGTTGCTGCTGCACGCAATGTTGATGGTGAACAGATCAAAACACTGACAGAATCCATGGATGGCAGGCTTTTGAGTGTCCTTGCAAAGAAAGGTGGCTATATTGGTCACTGATTTGTTTTTGTTTTGTTTTTGAATGTCAGAAATGTATATTTGTGAATGTTGAGATGTTATATTGGTTTCACTGGTAATAATAAATAATTGAAATGGGTATATATTTGTTTTTTGTTAAGTTGCCTAATAATTATGCACAGTAATAGTCACCTGCACACACAGATATCCCCCTAACATAGCTAAACTAAAAACAAACTAAAAACTACTTCCAAAAATATTCAGCTTTGATATTAATGAGTTTTTTGGGTTCATTGAGAACATGGTTGTTGTTCAATAATAAAATTAATCCTCAAAAATACAACTTGCCTAATAATTCTGCACTCCCTGTATATGATGGACTGTATAGTAATAACTGGATACTAATTACTACATACAGAGCACTGTATGCTCGACTGTATAATGGATGTGGATATCCTGCATTGTGTTACACTGGAAATATACAAGACAATTTGTATAAAAAAATATTGAAATTAAAAAAGTTTATTAGTTGAATACAGGGAGTGCAGAATTATTAGGCAAGTTGTATTTTTGAGGATTAATTTTATTATTGAACAACAACCATGTTCTCAATGAACCCAAAAAACTCATTAATATCAAAGCTGAATATTTTTGGAAGTAGTTTTTAGTTTGTTTTTAGTTTAGCTATGTTAGGGGGATATCTGTGTGTGCAGGTGACTATTACTGTGCATAATTATTAGGCAACTTAACAAAAAACAAATATATACCCATTTCAATTATTTATTATTACCAGTGAAACCAATATAACATCTCAACATTCACAAATATACATTTCTGACATTCAAAAACAAAACAAAAACAAATCAGTGACCAATATAGCCACCTTTCTTTGCAAGGACACTCAAAAGCCTGCCATCCATGGATTCTGTCAGTGTTTTGATCTGTTCACCATCAACATTGCGTGCAGCAGCAACCACAGCCTCCCAGACACTGTTCAGAGAGGTGTACTGTTTTCCCTCCTTGTAAATCTCACATTTGATGATGGACCACAGGTTCTCAATGGGGTTCAGATCAGGTGAACAAGGAGGCCATGTCATTAGATTTTCTTCTTTTATACCCTTTCTTGCCAGCCACGCTGTGGAGTACTTGGACGCATGTGATGGAGCATTGTCCTGCATGAAAATCATGTTTTTCTTGAAGGATGCAGACTTCTTCCTGTACCACTGCTTGAAGAAGGTGTCTTCCAGGAACTGGCAGTAGGACTGGGAGTTGAGCTTGACTCCATCCTCAACCCTAAAAGGCCCCACAAGCTCATCTTTGATGATACCAGCCCAAA